CGTTTGTGCTGATGCTGGTGTGTTGTGAGCCACTAGTTGCATTTTTTCAATGAGCAGGGGAAGTACATTTATGGCCCATTGTCCCATGGGCCTTCCACACACCAGCACAGATGAGTAAAAGCCCTGAAGGAAGGGTTTCAAGGGGTTGAAACTGGCATCATTTCAGTAAGGAGAGAGGATAGAGATGTGAGGCTGATGCTGGTACAAAGTCTTGAGGTTGAGGGTGGATGGTGGTAAACAAAGCTTTAGACAGTTTCCTGAAGCACCAGCTGCACAGACTGACTTCCATGCAAATTGCAAATGATTGGCAAGGACTTGCCCTAGCAACACAAAAAATAAAATGCCTATTTTCTTTCCCATGTTGTGGGTTTTAGGTTCAGAGGTGCTATTAGATGCTTTTACTGTAATGACCTCAAGGAGTTGGCTTTAAAACTTCTACTGTAAGTGGATCAAAGTCAACTGGAAAATCCCTACTTCCCTCTGAAAATAGATAACAAACATTCCCCAACAGGTTGACATATAAATGTCTAATCTCACCTCTTCCTGCCACACGAGAAAACATGTGCTTTGTCTAATTGGTCAAACTCAACAGTGGTGATACCTGCTTTCTTGTCTAACCTCAACTCTACCCAGTCTTCATCTGATTACAATAATTCTTATTTTGTACCTCCAAATTATTGCCAGAGTAGCAGCAAGCAGCAAACTTCAATGCTTGAAAGTGTCACTTTCCAAAACACTTGTTCAACCTTGACACCACTTTTGGTGCCATGTAAACTGAAGGTGCTGTAAGTTGATACTGCATTTTCTGTTAGCTTCTTCACTCTCCATTGTCAGTGTAACTGTATGTTTCTGGTGTTTTACAGTACACCTCCTGTCAGTGTATACTGTGACGTACACATGCTGACAACAAACAACAAATGCTGAGGTTAATTAGGTACAAGTGTGTCTGTTTGACCAGCTGAACTACTCCAAGCTCCTGCCCTTCATTCCATAGTTTCAGCTGAACTAGCAATGTGTCTGGCTTCTCCTGAAAATGTATTTATTTATGATTGGGGGCGGGGGGGCTGCTACATAAGTCAAAATTCTCCTGGGATCTCTTTTGTTAAATGAAGTCACTTATTGAGTATGTGTCTGGAACAAAGAGTCTGCTAAACAAAGCAATAAATGTGCCTCAACGAAGTGATCACAAAGGAAACGTGTTCATATTATCAAGAGTATGTTGAGGAGTTCAGATCAGAGAGGCAAGAAAATGTGAGCATAGTCTCGCTTTGATCACTTCATTTGATGAGAGTTGTGATTATTTTCCAGTATCTTCTTTCCACCCAAATGTTCAATTTGGGTTGCGATAAAATGGATCTTGTTGATGATGTTTATGCCTTTGTGTTGCATCACAGTCTAGGCTGGGACTTTCAGAGCACAGTCAGACCTCAATGGAATCATTACATGATTTATGAGTTACCGAAGAAAAGATTCAAAGCTCTGGGAGATTTTATGCTGCCAAAGCTTCTCCTGGCCCCTGCTTTCTAAATAATAAAACATGGGCTTCAGGCTACTAGTGGTTTAGCCTAAAACAAGACTATAAAGATTATTTTTTCGTCATGTTTAATACATTTGTTGCTCTCTTTTATAGTAATATTATTAAGTTGGTCTGTATTTTATTGTACAGAAAGTCATTATGACTGGTAAATGTTTAATAGCGCATGGTAAATTTTAGAATCCACCCACAACTGAGACTTTCTGGTGCTCTTGGTCATTCATCAGACTGATACACATGTCATGTAGTCATGTGCTTGTATGTGTGTGTGGTCAAACCAGTTCACAACCTTTGACACCAGTCATTCCTTCTCATTTTTCCACCTACATGTGCGCACTCGCCCTCTGCTGCCTGGCCGTCTGATATAAACGGCTCTGGGATTTTTCCAGCAGGCTCCTGGATGTTTACGGAGGACACTTGTGAAATTGTGTAATGGTTCAAATGTGAATGTGTGGTGAGGAGGTTATGTAAGTGCATCTCTCCCGTCTGATTCATGCGTTCTCAGATCTGCATGAGTGTGTTTGTGTGTTTGTTCAGGAAGGGGTGGTACTCTTAAAATTGTGGAGTTGAGGCACCTTTCTATGCCCCTCAGCGTTTAAACACATATCACCAGCATTCAAAGTCTTGGAGAGACACTAGGAAGGCCAAGCGAGTGGGTAGAATATAAGATTGAAAAGTGCACACCCACAGAGACACATGCATATAAACACCTGCGAAGCTGCCTGAGCAATTCCAGTTTCACTAAGAAGGTCAGAACACAGACGTGTGCGTTGTAGCAATGATTCAGCTCCCCGATGTGGGGAAACACATTTGCCTTTTAAAACCTTTATGTGGGGGAGCTAATTGCAAATCCAAACCTGGACTCTCAGGCTGCTCTCAGTCCAGTCATGTTTGTTTAGGCAGTCATTTACTCTTCCACGTTTTGTTTCTAAATAGCTTCACATCTAAATTGCTTCTTATCTAAATGAGAAAATAATAAAGAGGAGTCAGAATCTCTTCTCGTCTAAAGTTTGATACTAAGGTGAAATAGATTATTTGCTGGGTGTTGATAAGCTTGACTCCTGTTACCTAGTGTGGCTGTCTTTGGCCCTGCTGGCTAAAGGGACTATTCCAGAGTGTTGTGATATTTGTATTGAGTCATGACAGTATTTGGTAGTACAGTATTTATTCATAAATGAGCCAAATGTGTTTTTGTCCAAGGAGGAGTCTGACCGGGAAGTTCATTGACCCTATGGAAACCCCTTCCTACAGTCTTAGAGTAGGCTTCTTGTCTACATTGCCTGGTAAAGGCCAAGAATATTTGTAGCCGCATTAGCAGCATGGCTCTAGTGAGGGCAATGTCAGTCTGTCATTTGGTTGGTTGGTCCACCACTGGTCCAAACTGGAATAAAATTATTAGATGGATTGCCATGACATTTGGTTCAGACATTCATGTCCCCCTTGGGATGAATTGCCAGAACTTTGCTGATCATCTCTGACTTTTCCTCTAGTGCCACTATCAGGTCTCAGTATAAATTCACTACTACACTTTGGCTAATGACCAAATACCTAAATGACATGCTTTGTGATAATGCTAACACATTTAATTAAGACACTGAACATAGTTATAAATATCCCTGCTAAACATCAGTATGTTAGCTTTGTCATTGTGAGCATATTAGTTAGCATTTCCAAGCTTTTTTATATGAAACTGTTGTGATGCAGCTTTGTAAATCACAACTGGCAGCTGTTGGTTTACAGTGATAGATTACATTTGCCAATTGAATTAGAAGTGGGTTTGTTGCCTAATGATGTTTGAAATTATATGGGAGTGAATGAGCTTATGACATACAGCAAATCTGATTTAAAAAATATCATACAGTAAATTGTGCCTCTTTGCTTGAATGGCACTGGTTCTGCCAGCTAGCTTGGGCAAGAAATGAACCATTATTGTCCCAGTGGTTGTTCCCTGGCTGCTCATTGACTGTGTGTGTGTGTGTGTGTGTGTGTGTGAGAGAGAGAGAGAGAGAGAGAGAGATTTGGTTCCACTGACCTGAACACTACCATCAGTTTACAGTAACCTGTTGTGGTTTCACAGTGTGTGTATTCCTGGATATTGGCGAACTTTAAAGAGCATTAGCTTACTGTCTAATATGTCTCTAAGTCCTTAATTTTGTGTGTGTGTGTGTGTGTGTGTACCGACTCTCTGCTGCAGAACAAGGCTCAGTCACAGAGGAAATAAGAGGGCTTGATTTCCCCAAATGGCCCTGAGTAATAATGATACCTTTGTCCACTGACTTACTGCCTCAAGTAGAGAAAGCAGGACATAATGACATATATGAGTCAGAACGTCAGTTCATTAACATGTATTAGAAACAAAACTCAAGTTGTCTAACGTAAGGAGTGCAATAAATGTGGTGGGAAGCTTGTTTTTTCTATCATTGGCTCAGATGCCCTCAAGATGTCACTACAATGTATTTGTATTTACTGGCTATTTACTTTAAGTCTGTACAGAGTCCCTAAGGGACATAGGAAAAAATAACAATGCACACAAGATGCTATCTAGTGCTCACAATCTAGTGCTCGTGAGATACCATCTGGTGCGCATGAGAAACGATCTGTTTTAGGGTTTTTTTGTCCATGTCCCCTTCGGTACTCTAAGTGTGAATGTAAGGTGTGAAAAGCCAAATCTTGGCCACATTAATGACTGTGTGTTAAAACCTGACTGTTAGATCTCCATTTAAACTCAGGATGCATCTTAGAAGCCAGTGGGATCACCATGTCCATGACACATAGGCTAATATAAAAATAAACCCAACAAAACAGGCTAATGGTCAGAAAGTATTTTATTTACATTTTTAAATCAAAAGCAGGGAACATGCAGTTCATGGTCTGATCTGTTTTTCTTTACAGTTCTGGATCAGACAGATTGACCTTCATCTGCAACTCAAACATACTATAATCCAAAGTGCCCTGAAAACTGTCAACTCCCACTAGTATACAGTAACTGATTGAATTTCCATACCGTGTGCAGATTGTTTGTTAGTCCAGTACTGTTCATTTCTGCATTTTGATTTGAGCTTCTTTCAACGTTATCAAGTTTGGAAGCTAGGGTCTCAATAGAGACAATAGGCATCATTTAGAAAAGAAAAAATTCTGAAATTTCTGTTAGTGTGGTGTGTGTAGTGTGACCTACATGAGCAATCCAGTGAGACTCACTTTACAGACAGTACAATCCAGCAGGATTTTAAAACTGCCTCTGACTCTGTTCTACTCACTTTGAGCAGCAGGTGGCAGCACCACATTAGTAAAACAGACATTAACCTAATAGAAAGGAAGGAAGATACAAAATGTAAAGAATGCACATATTTCCAAAATATGAAAGCTATTCATATGTGTAAAAGCTCATAATGCCCATCATTTGTGCTGCAACAGCACAACTGTGCTAAAACAAACTAAGGTATGTCAGGAACTGTGTGGCTGTCTGAAGGAGCAATATCAGTGATTGCGACTGAAGAATGCAGACTGTTTGTACTGTTTAACAGTATACAGGATTTCCTATTATTTTGAACAACAACCAGAATTGACATAAATATGTCCTGGAGAGGTGATATATGAATAGTAAATCAAAGCAGAAATACATGATTAAAAAATTCACTGAGTTCTTTCAAAAGGGTTATCGACTTGGTGAAAAGCAGACGGACAGATAAGCAGCAGACAGGTAAGCAAACATTTTTGTATGGCAAAAAATGTTAGAAGTTTCTGTACTTCTGCTTTAGAGATCCACTCCTCCACTAATGTTATGTTCACAACGTATAGTGAGACTGTTTTTTGTTCTGTATATCTGCTTTAGTTCACATGACTTTGCACACCACCATGATTTTATTTTAATTTATTTATTCTGTGTGATGTCTGACAGCTTGCTGTGTATGTTTCTTGAGAGTTTACAGTCCCTGTGACATTTTCAGTCTATTAATAACAAGGCGGTGCCTGAAATAAAAAGGTCAAGAACCACTTCTGTTGGCAGCTTTTAGGCACACTGACATGTTTTAAAATATTTTGTTCACGTGTTGCTGGGGCAGAAAGAAGTCTGGCTGAAGAAGTTGTCTTCACTGAACACAAGCAAAAACAATTCCTCATAGTGTACTGTTTGTTTTCAGACACTCACAATAAGTGACACTATAAAAGATGCCCACAACAGGTTATGGGCTTAGTCAGTTGATAGCAGGGAATCTGAAAATCTGGTACAATAAATCTGCCTGTATGCTGGCTCCAAAACACAAGCACAAATCTGTTTTCATTGCAAGAAAAATGTTCTGAGTAGTTTTGCTTTTGAAGCAGAGCTCCGCCTCAGACAGAGAGGAAATGGAAAGGCTTTCAGAAAAGGAAGTGAGGCCCCTTGGTACGTAGCAGAGGAAGGTTCCAGTGGGGGGAAAGAATGCTATTCAAATTAAATCAAAAGACTTCTCGGTACATAATGTACTGTACATAATCACACTTCGACCCACACGCCCTCTCCTCTCTTTCTCTCTGTACTGATGAGCAAAAACAACAGTTACTCCTGTTTGGCACCTCATTGCTTCACTTTTGGCCCTGATAGCAGCTGCTGCATCTTGTTGCAATGACTCTACTAGAGATGTCTGAAGTCCAGGAGTTAAAGCTGACCAGGCAGACATTTGTGCTTCATACAGTTAATGGGTGTGCAATGTTTTCTAGGGCATTTGAGAGACTCACATCAAAACAGTGAAGTTAATGACTTATAATTAATTTCAACTGAGTGTTCCTTGAATCATTCCTGGATAATACTTGCACTATTAAAGGATGCTTCATTTCTTTGGGGATACATTTTGGCCATGGATGGACAGTCTGTCTGCCTCAATATTAAAGGAACATTTTGGAAAATATGCTTTTTTGCTTTCTTGTCTGTACACTATATATGAAGGTACAGCCAGCAGCCGGCTAACTTAGTACAAAGACTGGAAACAGTGACACAGCTAGATAGGCTCTGTCCGAAAGTTAAAAGAAAACCAACTCCTCTAAATCTTATTAAGACTGCAATTAGACTGCAAGCCAAAGTAACCCAAATCTGATTTTTTTATGCTCATATGTCACTCAGATCGGATTTTGGGCCACTTTCCAAATGATGTCTTGTTCTTTTGCACATGGGGGTCTCTTTCAAGCCGTGGCCATTTCACACTGGAGTCTGATATGGGCCTCATTTACAAAATATCTGGGTAATAAATGGGAATTAGGCACTAAACCTGCAGTGTGAACGTGTAGTAATTAACACATTGTATCTTGTTTTTTTAATCCTGTCACAATGCCGGCCAACTCCCAGTCTCACATTCTCCTGTCTGCTTTGCTTCCCTGACACACGCTTCCTGACATTTCAAATCCTGCCACTCCCTCCTGCCCCACCGTAACTCCTTTTCCCGCCTTTCCCCATCACCTGACCTCCCCACCTACCTGCACGTTTGTTCCCACAATCTCCGTAAGCCTTCTAGTATATTTACCAGCTTATTTCTATTCATTCCCTGCCAGATCACCTGTTGTGCTCCAGCATTTTGTTGTAGAATAGAATAGAATAGAATAGAATAGAATACACTTTATTGTCCCCTGGGGGAAATTTGTCATGGATTCAAAGTGCGTAGTGCATAGTAGTAGCTGCCCTTACAGACAATAAATATACATAAAATACATATAACAGCTAAAGACATAGACTTAGACTACATACACACTCATGACACATCCAATAAAAGATTAAAACAAATAAGAACAAAATGTATATATATATATATAAACTGCCTGGCTTTATTCTGCCTGCATGACCCACTGCCTTCCCTCTGTACTTATGCTACCCAGCCTAACCCCTTTCTGGGTAAGATTGCGTGCTCTTCTCTGCCTGCCTGGTTTTGACTTTTGCCTATCCCATACTACAAGAAAATGTAAACTGTTAGTTTTCATGTTGGTCCAGGTTCAGACGTGTTTTCACTGAGCTTTACAACTCTGTACAAAAGCCAAGGTGTGAAGATGAAAACTTAGAACAACTATTTTGTTAACTTCCTGGAGACTCCACTGGTTGCTGGGCAGCTGGTTCGGGCATGTAGTCTGGCAGTATTACTTCTGTGAAACAGCACTTGGCTGTTTGGTTTTGTTTTGTTGTTTCCCTTATTTCCACTCTTGTGCTAAGCTGAGTTAGCCAGCTGCTAGTGGTAGGTTTGTATTTAGCATACAGACATGAGAGTCTTCTCATGTTACTCTGGGCAAGAAAGCAGATAAGCATATCTCTCAAAATGTTGATCTTTTCCTGTAACGTTTGCTCTAGAAATAAGGTGTCAGTTTACAGGTATGAATGGAGCCAGCAGCCCCCAATCCATTATTTCCCCATCGCTGATCTATAGTTGTAACCATGCCTGAGTGGTCCATCAGCTCATGTTGTTTGCATCACACCCTGAGACTATTGTTGTTGATGCAAACAGGGTTCATCACAATGTACAAACCTTAATAACTTTCCAGGTAACAAACCCGCCACAATCACCCTCACTTGTTCACCATGGGCAGGAGAGGTATTGTGTCATGGTTTTTTTTTGCAAATGTTTTGATGCTGCATCTTGTGGTCCAACGCCTTTTCACTTTTAGCAATGCTCCTCCCACGACAACCTCTATCACACATTTTCAGAGTCAGTTAGATCACGCTTTAAGCTTTTTCTTGGTGTACAGTTTACATGCACAGTTAGAGTGGAAATGGCCGATGGAAAGGAAGGGCCCACTTCTTCCGCAGGGTCAGGGTCTGTCTTTTTTTTTCTGGTTTGGTGTATGTAAACTGTGGAAAACCACCTGCAACTCCCTGACACAACTCTAGAGTCACACGTGGCTGCTCCTGTTAAACCACAGGCTTTCTAAGTAGATGGATGAATGTGTTTATAATGTCTAACTGATGGATTCAAAGAGGGTCGTTTGGGGGTTTACCCTGAGTAAATGAGCCCACACTAAGCGAACAATGACAGTTATACGATATTACTCCTATACGTGTAACTGAAACAATTATATTCTGAATGGAAGTGAATGCATTTATATGTGTCTCTACGTGAATCAGTAGTGTAGGAGTCTCCTCTTAAAACCTACAGACTTGTTAAAAGCCAAAAATACATCTGCGTCACTATACAGAGACATCATCCTAAGTAATAAATAATATTTAATATTCTCAATATAACATTCCTCTTTAAACAGCAGATTGGCGTTTACAGCACGAGGAAGAAGCTCCACTGAACAAATAAAAAAACAGATGTTTCTGAGGTGTGTTTGCTGCAGGTAAAAAAAAAAAATCGGAAACTAAAACATGTCTTTTAACAGTTAAGGACAGAATACATCACAAGTATCACACACACGAAAGGATTTACTGTACAGGCACTTCTTGAACCAGTAATTACACGTGTCATGAAATGGGCAGTCACCGTTTGGCTTTGAATATGAGACTATACATAGTGAAACAACTGAGTCACACTGTCTGCACTCTGTTGAAATTCTTTACAAATATGACTGTCTGCGACATCAACATGAAAACTCATGCCACACATAAGAAACGCTCACAGGAATCTACAAAGTCTTGAAAAACCATGAAAATTCACTGACGATCTACATGGCCAACTAACGAGATGGTCCTCCTGCTTAAACATTGTCAAATTGAAACTCATTCATTGGTGCAAGCCTTTAGGCGTTATATATACAAATATTTTTTTCTTTTAAAATGTCTTTGCTGTGTTTTTGCACAGTACAGATCTGGGTTCTTGTCTAAAATCTCATTAAAATTTTTGTGTTGCCATGATATAGACTATTCTGTGGCTACTCACATTCGTTGTGACATGTGTACAGTGCCTTTTATCAGCTTCACTCAGAGTCAGTAACATTACACTTTAAGTTACTTCAATATATTTAAAATGAGCAGATACTACGCTTGTGTTTCAATATAAATCTAACAATTAATACGTGGCTACAGTATGAAATTACAGAAACTGTCGTAGATTGTATTTCTTACAGGGGGCCTTACTTGCTGTGCAACACTAACAACCTACTCCTTAACACACCTACATATGTTTCATTGACGAGTTTTGCAGAATAAAAATTTGTATTAAATTGTGCCCCAAAATGAACTGGGAAAACAAAGGAGTGACTAGCTGAGTTGCACTTTGGCTATTTGCCATACACTAAGTCAGAGAGACAACATTGCATCTGTGTGTAAGCATTGACCTCATCCTGGTAAATAATCAACAGCCATCACTGCTTCCAGAATATAATTAACTATTCATTCTCATACAACTGTCCCTATTCACTGCAACATACAGTGGGATTAATCAAAACCAATGCTATAAACTAAACGATTTTAAATTTTAGCTAGATTTCTGTTAACACAATAGCCTATAAGAATGTATGTGGGTTAAAATGACTCTCCAGACTAATTGTCATAAATTATGAAATGATTCAGGCATTGTGAGCCCTCTGTCTGGCTTTTGGGATCATAAAGCACTTTGATATGGATGGAATGAAACAATAAAGTTGTGAACTTCACCCACTCATGATGCACACACACATACACACTTAGTCAGTAGAGACACTTTGACGTCAGCCAAAATTTACTGCACAAGAACAGACAGTATACAGTATGCACATAACACCATCTGAGATAGACATACACATATACACTATCAGCCAGGAGCATAAAAC